TTCTGCCTATAATACTCAGAACTGGTAGCAACAAGGAAGGACTTATTCCCATAAGAATCCAATGCTTGTCCACTACCAAGATGGTGTCCAAAAAAAAACACTTTGCAAACATTTTAGACAACTAATACATAGAAAATTAATATGTTTTTGCTAAATACAGATCATCAAAACCATTTCGAAACTACCTATAGGCAGGATTTAGGAAATCATCAAAGAGGACATACCAGAGTATTTTCTCTATTACAAAAGTTGCAGACCTTGTCACAATAATCATTTATCTCCATTCTTTTCTTAAATGCACCAACAGAACAGACCTAGATATCTCCCAATTGAGTATCACTAGTTGATGTCAAATGCAACCAAGTTCAGAACAAGACCAAACACCATTACCAAGTTTGACAATAATAAGCAACAACCCAAAAACTTCAACATTCACAAAAGTCCAGAAGTCATCCAGAAGGGATCATGTTTAATGTTTCATAAACATCCATGCTCATACAAGGCATAACTTTGACAATATAGACATTTTGTCCCTCATAACTCATAAGGTGGTATTTGCATACCAACCTTTCTTTTTATCAGTAACTGTGAAATTTCATTAGATTAGAAAAATGATAAAGTACACTGAGTAAACACATAGAAAATACAGTAAGAGATAAAAGAGTTTATCTTTCCCCTTATTGCACCTTTCCCTTACAATTGAGCCCAGAACAGAACTGGTCATCCCACCCCTTGTTTTGCTAGAGTATCTGCAAAAGAATTGGCGCTACACTTGCACCAGCTGAATGATACTTCCATATCCCTCGTTAGCCATCTGAATTTTTTCTTTTCATTGTTGTAAAACCACATCTCCATTTCATCACTATGCATGCAGCCAATTTACAACCAACTGTGAATCCCCTTCCACTATTAACTTCCTAATATTCAAAGACCTTGCCCTTTGGACTCCTTCCATCATTGCCAAAACCTCTGCTTTAAGAGAATCTCCCTCTCCCACCGGGCCTGAAAATAAGGCAATTATCTCCCCTCATCATCCCTAAGTACACCAATTCTTGATGATCCTGGGTTTCCCATGCTACTACCATCAAAGTTAAGTTTGATAAATCCTATTTCTGGTGGACATCAAAGAAGAGTAGTAGCAAGTGTATAAGGAACAGATTTTCCCACTTCCTTCCATTTTCTAAGAATATAATCTGTAGTTACATTAGAAAAGGACTCGAGATTTGCGCCAGTGAGCCACCCTAACCATTATTACTTCAATCATGTCTTCCTTATTTCTTTCCTTTTCCAAGAATAATCTTGAATTCCTTTCTTCCCATATTGCATAGTATCGCCGCTCAAGTGCATCTCCACATTTTTTTTTATCAATTAGTGCATCTCCACATTAGTCTTTCCCTCTTATTTGGCCATGAAAAGAATGAAGGATTAAATAACCTTTGCTCATCCACCAGAGGATTCCACCTACACCCAAACAAGGAGAAAAACCATTCCCAAATATATGCAGTAAAGGAACAAGAGATAAGTAGATGGTAACAGTTCCCACCATTAGCTTTGCATAAAACACACCAGTGTGAGGATAAGCTCTAGTTCTTGTGCTTTCTTTGAAGCAAATCACAAGTGTTGATCTTTTCGTGAGCAACTTCCCAACAGAAAGCTCCAATCCTAGCTTTGCATAAAACACACCAGGAATTTGCATGTCAACCTTCTTAAGCTAACTTCCTCAAGTTTAACCATTGGTTGAGAACATGTTAGACTTTAGGCTACATACTGAGTATGTCATGTTTCTCAATTTGTGGTATTAAATAGTAACTACTCATGACTAGTAACAGATGTTCTCACTAAGATGAGGAAGTAGATAAAGAAAAGGCCTATGACTTGGTGAACTAGAACGTCCTGTTAGAAATCCTGGAAAGGATTGAGTTTGGAGAAAGGTGGAGGAAGTGGATTAATGGCTGCATTAAGTCAGTATACTATTCCATTCTTATTAATGGAGTGGCGAAAGACTTCTTCCCAGCCAAGAGAGGCCTAGGACAAGGGTAGAGGTGTAAAGTGCCCATGGGCGGGCCCGCACAAATGCCCTCCCCGATGAAAATTTTGGGGGTCAGCCCGGCACAGCCCACGGCCCGGGCCCATGTGGGCTCGTGCCGTGCCACGGGCGGGGCTGGCCCGTGGCCGAGCCTCGGAACAGGTCGGGCCGTGTATCAGGCCAAAGCTATTTATTTAAAAAAATTGACAAAAAACTTATAATTTTAATTTTATATGAATTTTGTGTATAAAATTGCTTATATATGCAATAATTAAATAAATTAGTATAATAAAATTAAAAAATATATTTATTTTATTAATATATTATATAGCATATATTATTATATAATTATAATATATAAAATATATATGGGTCGTGCCACGGGCCGTGTTGGGCCGGGCTGCAGGCTGGGCCGTGCCGGCCCGTGGACCTAAAATCCCAGGCCCAGCACGGCCCGCATGGTCGTGCCGGGCCGCGGGCAGCACGGCCCGATTTACACCTCTAGACAAGGGGACCTTGTTTCTCCCTTCCTCTTCACCCTAGTAACAGAGGTCCACAGTAAGATGATTGTAGCTGCAAATGCCCAGGGCCTGATTAGGGATTGCAGGGTTGGAAGAGACCAAGTATTTGCTTCACATCTCCAATTCGCTGATGATACAGTTTTATTTTGCAAGAACATTGATTTGGAAATGGTGCAAAACCTAAAGTTTCTAATTAAGACGTTCAAGGGTATTTCTAGTTTGAGGATTAATTGGAACAAAAGCGGTGCTGGAATTAATTTGGAGGAAGAGGAGCTCTTGAGCTTTGCAGAGGTCTAGGGTTGTGAGATTAGGAGTTGGCTTGTTACTTGCCTAGGCTTACCTTTGGGGGGAAACCCAAGGATAGAAGGATTTTGGAAGCCGGTGGTTGAGAGGTTTGCAAAGAAACTAGCCTCTTGGAAGAGAACTTATTTATCTTTAGGGGAAAAATCACCTTGATTAGGGCTACACGGGCAAATCTACCAATTTACTTTCCTTTCCACTTTTTGCATCCTAGCAAGGATAACAAGACAACTAGAAAAGTTCATGAGGGATTTCTTATGGGAACCAGGGGAGGAAAAAAATAATCATTTAGTCAAGTGGAAATAGGTTAGCAAGCCAAGAGGTCAAGGGGGTCTAGGATTAGGAAACATTGCTCATAGGAACACCACCTTGTAGGGTAAATGGTTGTGGAGATTTCCCTTTGAAAGAGATAGGTTGTGGCACAAAGTAATTGCAAGCATTTATGGTCTAGATTGTACTGGTTGGGATGCTAAATTGGCTCATCACTCAACTTCAACCTCTCCATGGAAAGCTATTCACGTTTACCCTATGTTCATTAGTTCCATCAGGTATGATGTGGGAAAAGGGGATAAAATCCGCTTATGGGAAGACCTTTGAGTCCTGTGTACCCCTTGCTTAGCTAGACCATCTGCCAAGCTGTTGGCAGTTCTTCTCACCCACTTAACTCTGATAGTCAAGCCCTTTGCTAACCATTTAATACGCCTGAAGTCATTCCTCAGGTGTCATGTCACCCCCTCTCCTTCCTTCAGCCATTTCCCAGCGGTTCTCGAGTCACCCTCAATGACTAGGTTATCAATGCCCAACTCCTTTGCCTTCTCAACCCCATATACTGCAGCTAACAGTTCTGCTCTTGCCACATCACCCTGTTCTGCAGGCCTGAGTATAAGGCTATGATGTTTGATGTTTCCTTTCTCACCCCTAATTATCCCCCTATGCCTAAAGGGCCCAGGTTACCCAAACAAATCCCATCAAAATTCAGTTTCTTCCAGCCACATAATGGGGGTGACCACATCTCAGCAGGTTTCTGTCTTCTAGAAGATGAACCAACAATAACAGCCCAGGCCCTAAAAAAGTCTTCAACCTTAAAGTCTGAAAATATTTTCAAACTTTTTACCCATAGTGCCACTCTTTTTTTTTTTTTGATTAATCCCATTGTGCCACTCTTAAGATTATGATTTCCATTAGGGCTTCCTTACTCCTTTCTCTTTCTTCAAATATTCTTGAATTTCTTTCCTCCCAAACTGCCCATAGAAACTGCCCATTCTTGATTCTATAAGCCGCCTTTGTACTAAGCCCCTTGAGGCAAGCCCAAACAAATCCACACTAGGGTCTAAAATTCTTAATCCCTATAAAAAATGATATTTTTAAAAGACATTTAAGTTATAAAACCTTCTTTTTTATAGGGGTTAAGAATTTTAGACCCTAACATGGACCTGTTTGGACTTGCATGGCCCAACTGCTAAACACACAAAAAAAAACAGAAAAAATGCACAGTTTTTCAATAAGGCGCACACCTGGGCTGAAGTGCAAGGCGCACCAGGCATGTGCCTTTTGAAAATACTCCGCCTGGGATCTAGGCAAGGCACATACTCTAATATGTGCCTCACCTGTGCGTGCCTTTTAAATCACTGATCTCATCCCTAATGACTTGCGAAGAATGATAAGAATTGTATAATAAGGGCACGTTCTCTCTTGTCAACTTATCAATTTCTCATAACATGGCCAAGGGAAATGCGCTTCCATAAAATCATTCTGCTTAGCTCCATAAAAGATCGGAAATTCCATGAGAGAGATCATTGCACCTACAAAGCTCTCTACGAAGTGGTTTTGGATGGCTGTGTACCTTTAGCAAATGAAGAGTGGATCAAAAGGCAGTTTACTATTTCCTAACCCATCTTTCAGGGTTGCACAAGACGGAGTGTAGCCCTGTACCTTATCCGGCATGTACAACAATTTTTAGTCTTTTGAGAATTACTTATAGTCCGAAGAGCTTATATTTGAAACAAGGTGCCAATGCACATGAAAAGTTCAAGACAACTAAAATCTTACTCATAACAGAGTTCGTAACTTATAAATCAGTAAGTAAAACTTCAATAGATTAAGAAAACCCTAATTAGATTTTACAGTGAGAGGAAGAAAGAGATAGTAGTTACTATTCTGTGACGTCTTCAAGGACCATGTTGACATAAACGTCGAAACCCCTTAGGGTTCCAACTAGCTCCTTGTCACCCTTCATTATCACCCATATTTTCGACCCTATGCATCGATCTATCAGCTCTGAAAACCAAAAAAGAAAAAGAAAAAAAAAAAAACGAGCTCTGTAACTTCCTCCTTCGACTTAACAAAACAACATAAATTAACCATTAAGAAGACGAAGAACGAGAGAGAGAGAGAGAGTCAGGTACCTGAAGGCAGGAGTTGTGAAGGGTTGTTCGAGGACATGTCTCTTTCCCTTTCCCTCCCAAAAGCTTTTACTTTGCAATTTTGCTGAGTGAATCTCACCGTTCAGCTGCAACTGCAACTGCTATACTTATAGCAAAGCAACGAAATAAATTCGTTAAGGTTGAGTTTGGTTTAAAATAAGCGCTTTTTGCCCATTTAAACTTTTAAAATGTCGGAAATACCCCTCGTCGAGAAAAAAGTCAAAAACCCCCATGGCCTCATCCCCATCCTTTTCCCGATTTTTGATTTTTGATCTTTGGTTTCTATCAAAAAAGAAAAAAAATCTCAACTCAACTCTAGGTAAAAAATAAATAAATAAAAATTGTGGCCTTAAACATTAGCTATAGCATATTTATTTATGGATAAATTTCTTAAACTATCCTTATGGTTTATAGTTAATTAATTAAATATATCCTTATACTATTATCTAATGTTACCTTTATTGTTTCGAAAAATTACGATTATCGTTAAAATATTATGTCATGGCTGAAATGCCCATTTAGCGAAAGTTCATTTCTTCTTCTTCTACACGCAAGTCCCTCTTGCCCCTATTTCATCATCGTCCCTGCAGCAGCGGACCCCTCTACACGACCCCCTCTCTCTCTCCGTCCGTTACCTTCGTTCCTTCTCCCTCTCGCCCATGTTTTATCACCGGTTGTCACACTGTTGTCGTTGCTTCTATAGCTTGAGAATGATTTGTTCCCTCTACCCTCTTTGAAGTTTGTAGTCGTTGCTTGGTGTAGTTCTTGGAATCTGAGGCATAAGAAGTGAATCAGAGATTCTATTTGTAGTTGCTTCGGTTCCCGCTTTGAAATCAATTGATCAGTCAGTAATGGTTGCTTGAACATGTAACATCGAATCATATAGCTCTAGTCGATCATTAAGAGCTATCAACTTAGCAGAGGGAACCTATAGCGTTCACTCCACCACTAGCATGGGTGAGTTGCCGACCAGAAATGGGGAAATGGGTGAGTCCTTGGTCTCATCTTCTCCCTCCCTTTCTCTCTCCATCCACTCCATCAATGAGAATCAAAACGCAGTGGCTCTAATCTCCCCCTTGCAGAAGACAACCTCCACCACCTTCATCCACCCTCTAATTCAGCCCCCCGTCCACCCCTCCAACAACCCAACTTAGAGGATCGACAGCACTCCGACCTGCACCTCCGATCAAGCAACACTCTTTCAATTTCTTTTTATTTTTCCTTTTCAAATTTTTCAGGAATAGGGACTCATAAGAGATTAAATCCAATGGGTTTGATTGGTCAATTACATGAGAAATTGCACCTACACACTTGATTAAAAAATTAGCTTTTCTCTTGCAAAACCCAGTTTTGAACTTGTCCCACATTGGAAAATTATAGGCTTTGTTTTCAGTATTTTAATAGGAGCTGATTTATACTCCTTAGAAATAGTAGAGGAGAGTATGGGGGTTTGATACCACACAACGCACGCGCATGCGTGTGTGCGACGCAATGAGGTGCATTTTGCTCGCACTTCGTGTGCACTCGTGTGGCTCGCGAAGGGCGGCTTTGGTTTTGGTGTGATGTTGACCGTTGATCACTGTTGATGAGATCAACGGTCACGATTCGATCAGGTGTGATCAAGTGGCACAATTCAAAGTTAACAGTCATTAACTGTTAACTACTTTTTAAATAGTCACAATATTTGAAATTGTGACTGTTCAAGGTGCCTTCTCTAAAACCAGCACCTACATTTTCTTCATACCTCTTCATAAACTATTTAAGGAGCATGAATCAGGCTTCAAAAACACACAATATCAAAATCCACTTTCTCTCTCTCTCTGTCGGGTCTGCTACAGTCTCACAAAAGGTTTCTTCGGAGATTCATCAACTTTGCTGGTTGCAAATTCTCGCCCAAGGCTCTGTTGTATCCTGTGAATGGATTTGCCTGTAACCCAATAGCAAACTCAATGAAACTGAGTGGGGGAAAATAACGTTCTAAAGACAATGTCTTCAAACACGCCTCAGAGCTTCTCCTCCAAAGTTATAGTGACCCCATTTTTCCTACAACTACAGACTTCTGTTTATCAAAGCACCGCCGGAGCACTGCCAGATTCCAACAAGGGGGAACTCCGTCGTATTCCAGTAAGGGAATTTTAAGGAGATGTCAAGTGCAGCATCTGGGCAGCAGGAAGGCTTCATACAACATCTTCCACAGAAGCTCTCCATTTTCACCGGCTGTATCGTCGAGCCCCAGAACAATCCCATCAGCAAAAAAATCCAAAGCATGACCCCAAGTCCAATATGAAGCTTACTGTTCATCTTATTTTTCTTCAACTTCCTTCTTTCCCTTTACTAGAAACTCTCCCAAGAAAGGATATCAATCTGAAGCCCCTACACCGCCTCTCCTACTCTAAATGGCTAGTAACTTTCAATCTGAAGCCCCATCCAATCTTTAGAATAAGAAGACTGAACTAAGAAAGGTACCTCTTTACACTGACCATGAAAGGTACCTCATCCCCCATTCAATCCGAAGCCTCGTCCAATCAAATGGCATTATGACAGATTTTGCTGAACTAGATTATCTTGTTGTGTCGTTCGAGGTCTCCTTTAAAATAGAGAAAGAACGAAAGAAGATAGAGGGAGAGAAGGAAGTTGAAGAAAAATAAGAGAGAATGAGAGAGAAAAGGTTGCCTGTAATAGGCACTTGAACAGGAGAGAAAGAGATCCTTGTAATAAGTGGGTCCATGACTTTCCAACCAAATATTGAGCCTATCCGCCAATTCAGGAAGCTTGGTCATCTCACAAAAGCATGTCCACCATATCGCGGACTCCTAACGCATTACTAGCAACTTAAGCGCCTCAAAATGATTGTGTTTCATGCAAAGGTGTAGAATGGTCTCACGCGTGATCCGTCTGGACTTGATTGGAATCAGGTTTGACCCATTCATATTTAGGGACGTGATTCTGTTCTCTACTCGATGAACATAATCGACGGCAGTAATGGCAGGAGGTGCAAGTGGGTATCTTGAAGAAGACGGTGAAGGAGGAAAAGAAGAAGGGAGAGCAGTGAAGGGTAAAATTGGGCTTTTCAAATATCATGTGTGACGAAATATTAACAGATCGTAACGGTAAGGGTAGAGTTAATTGTCAGAATTACTAGGAGTAGCATTAGACAATAGTCAAATAGTAGGGGTATACTTAGTCAATTAACTAAACCATAAGGGTAGTTTAAGAAATTTACCTTTTATTTATTGGGTTATTATTTACTTAAAGATTTTTTAATTCATGATTTTGTAGCTTATTAGGTCCTTCCTCTCCTGCTTTATTAATGGTTGAGACTTGAGCACCGCAACATTAAATTAGGGATACGGATACACTCCCCTAGTTTTACCTTCCTGATTCACAGTGATAGTCATAGAGCCCAGAACCCAGACTCAAAATTCAGAAAGAATTGAAGAGATATAGAGATCTATCAATAGAGAGAGAGAGAGAGAGAGAGAGAGAGAGAGTCCCATAACCCAATAACCCATTTCTACAACTATACCATATACCACAACACCAATACTATTGGCTTTCACTTTTCAACTCAACTGCCAGATTTCAACTCTCATTGGAATCTTTGGCATAGTATGGAAACGAAACACGTTGAGAAAAACTTCAAAGGAAAGAGTAGAAGTCAAATTATCAGGAAGAATAATTCTTTCACTGGATAATTATGAGAAAATTCAATATCAAAAACTATCTTAGCCTTCCCGTGGCTACTCTTTATATAGGCATACACCCTCATGACTTCTATTCCTAATCTGAAAACAATCTATAATGAAATCCTACTTAAAATTCCTTAAAAAAGAAAATCCTAATCTAAGAAAACACTCCAAAATAGAATCATAACCTAAGAAAACACTACAAAATAGAATCCTACTAAAAATCTTCAAAAGGAAAGTCCTAATTGAATATAAATTCGAAATAATGCTAACTTGGTAAAAACGAACTAAGATATAAACTGTGTTGGTGCCAACTTGGTAAAAATGAACTAAGATATAAATCCTGTGACGATGCTATCTCGATAAATATTTACTAAGCTATGTCGGTGGCGTCATCTCTGCTTCTTTTGTGTAATGGAATGGTCCCAACTTGCATAGAGCTTATCGTCCTTCTCCTGTACTATATCATCTTCCCTAGGTTAGGGAGAATTCATCCTCAAATTCAAATCATCATTTGATTGATCGCCAACATAAGGTACCAAGTGTTTGACATTGAAAACATCATGGGTACGTATATGGCTGGGTAGCTTTAGTCTATATACATTCTCATTGATGACTTCGACTATCTCACATGGTCCAACCTTCTTTGGCACTAGCTTTCCACATTGCCCAACCGGTAAACGTTGCTTTGTTAAAATGGGCCAAACATAGTCTCTTACATCAAATACTACTTTCCTCCTATATGTACTAAGATGGGTCTTCGAAAACCAACTTTGTAAATATTTACTCAGTTAGTCCGAATCCCGTACTACATCATTCTCCCTAGGTTGGAGAGAGTCCGACCTCAGATTCATGTTACCATTTAAGAGGTTGTCAACATATGTTGTTGCACTTCCACCATGCTTCTTTTTTTCTAACCCTTTGATAGATAATTAGTGATGTAAGCCTCCAATATGAATTGAGAACCTGAATCTTCCTTTATTGACCCTTTTGAACATTGCAAGAGTGCTTGTCAATAAGGATTTTCATAGACATGCATGTTGACAATGTGGTCATAATCCCCAAGATAATAAGTATTATCTTCATCATATTGAAATTCATAATGAATGATGGCATATTTCTCCTTAGTAATTGGTTCTTCATCATATTTTTAGTACTTATTGTATTTTTTATTATTAATGTATTTTCAATAATTGTGAATTTTTGCTATAAATTTTCAATAACTATTGGAGATTAAACTATCATTATTTATCAAAGATGAAGACTATTAATTTAGTTCAAATTATGAGTGTTAATGAATTGGTTTGGTTTGGTCGTAAGCTATTTGACCAACGAAATTAACATCGTCAAGTTGGGGAATTGGTCAGCTGAAACTGATTGACCATTTGTGAAAATTGACCCACTCAAGTTGTATCAGTTTGGGTCAATTTTTTTATTTGG